AGCAGGAAGTAATCTCTCCACAGAGTCAAGGAACACCACCAGGGTCTGTGTGCCGCAATGGGAGACAGCGGGGAGGAGTTCACTGAGGAACAAGGCTAAATCGCTGCAAGCCTGTTTGCTCTGGGTTGGAGGTGGTGGCGAATCAAATGCTAAACACGCTTGGAGACGAATGTCCCTCAGCAGGCTGTGAATGGCAGAACTGAGCTGGGATGTCCCCAGCAAACGAAGCACGACTACGGTGTCTTGCCTTGAAACAGCTTGCACCCGCTCAGATAGTTTGCGTGTCACAGCTGTTTTTCCACAGCCTGGTGGCCCACAAAGGATGAGGGCTGTGTGGGTTTTATCATTGTTCTGCCTAGTACAGTGAAAAATGTTATCCAATAAATTCTGTCTCCCACAGAAAAATCTGCAGTTCTTCAGGCACAGAGCTGTGTGGTGGCCCAGCTCCTGCAGAAGTTGCCCTGGCTCCTCACTGATCTGTCCTTGGTATCGAAGATTCTCTAAAACCTGGGGATTAGTGACAGCAGTGAACTGCTCACAGAGTTGTTTCAGGTATTTGTTATTCTTGCGCTGAGGGTTCCCAGAGTCTTTACTGTATGCCAGTGTGTGTACTTCGAGGTGTTTGGGGTCATGGCTTGCAATTTTTGCTTTAAGGTTGCGGAGCAGCTGTTTTGTGGAGGGTCTCTCTTTCTGTAGCCATGTCTGTATGGAAGGATTTGTGCAGCACACCAGAAGTTAGGAATTTGGAGCTGGGTTTTTACTTTGTCTATGTGTCATGTTAGACCTTACAGCAAAAATGCAGTTTGTGTTGCTGTGATCTAATGGGTATTTAGTTTCATATAGATGACATTATGGTTAAGTCTTGTAAAACCGTGGTTTCCAGATATTTGCAGGCTTGCGCGCACGTTACTACATTACCAACGTGAGTGCATTTTCAAGGTTCTATACTGGCTTGTCATGCTGTGTTTTTATTTGCTAATATGAAAACTCTGGATCTGGACATTTTGGATTACATAGTTACAGAATATAATACAGCAGCATCGATCCAGAAAAATATATTTCTTATATCTTGCTGCGGCAAATCCTCCATCGTATTTTAAGAGCACTCAGCCACACTGTTGGCCATCTCGGCAGTGATAAATAGCCACAATAAAAGGCAATTCTACCCACAGGGAATCTTTTCATACAGAGTCAAGTCTGTGAAATTTTTATGGCTGCTTCCCCTGCTGTGCTTTTTACAAGAGAGATTACCACTTTCTAGAAAAATCTTTGTGACACCTTTTAAGTGACATATTCACTGAATTAAATAAAACAACAAATGAGGTAAATTTAAGATAAATTAAAAAGACAAAGCAAGTAGGAGAAAAGGTAAGCACATATATGCACACAAACACAAGCATGAGTGCTCACTCCCAGCGCCCACGTGTATGCACCCTCTCCTGTTCACTGATACACAGGTCTTATATTCCTGGATACTTTTCACACCTGCAAAATTAAAAGATGCAGGGAATATAAAGGACATTTTTCTCCTTACATATGTTTTAGCATATGAGATTATACTTTCTTCAAAACTGGAATATTCTCTCCCTGAAATTATGTAAACGTTCATGTCACTACATGATTGTGTGATAAAGTAGTACAAGAGGGAATGCTAAAATTAGGACAGGGAATGGCTGTATCTGCAGCTTTCCTTGGGACTGTTCTAAGTGAAAAGTGATCGCTAATGAAGTCTGTGCCAGCATCAGATGAGAAAAGGGCTCCCTTAGGTTAGGAATTATCATGCCTGCACTGCTCTCCAACAGGGAGCGAGCACTCTCAGCGTAATACCCCTGGAATAATTCATTAGCTCTCAGCAGGGTTGCAGTAGTTACGGGAAATCCTTGTATCATTTTACACTCCGCCCACATGAATTCCAAACTTTACAGTGAGAGAGTGGGTTTAACTTATAACCCTGTCTTTTGGTGACAATCCAGTCACGTCACATCCTTCATCCTAAAACTGTTCCTGAAAATACATGAGGTCTGCCACAACTTGGACAGGTGTTGTAGGTAAAATCTTAACACTAGCTGTGTCCTTATATGCCCACTAATTTCAGACTGTCTGCAGTTCTCAGACATTCCTTCCAGAAACTGCAGCTGTAACCGTTCCTGTAAATGCTGACCTATCTGCTTAGGCTGGAAACACCTCACTGTCCAAGCAGCATATTCACCACGTTATCTCCTACTGGAGGAGATGCTGCAGGATTTTTGTTCTTTGGAAGGCACTTTTTGTGGAATTGAGAGCCCATCTAAGCCTGTTTTCTATTTAAAAATGGAGACAGTGTGAATGATTTTCAGAAGAAGGGGAAACTGAGTTTTGTAATTCCTGAAAATCTGAGTCATTGCTACCCACTGCCAGTTACCACTTCAGGAGCTCAGTCTGGCAACTGTGCCCCAGTAGGCAGAGGAAGCGGGAAATATTTGGGTATCGTCCAAGAAGAGAAGTTCTTAGCAAATATTTCTTGCTGTTAGAGCGGTGGATGGGAATCAAATGTGCGTTGCCCAGGGTTTCGAGAGAGCCTGCGAGCTTTGCTGGTTGTGTGCAGGCAGGCATTGCGCTGCACTGAGCTGCTATTGCACAGTAGTGCCTAGGCTGAATTTGGCTTCACTGCGAACGCCACTAGTTCTGGAACAAATGCAGAATTCTGCCATCTCTGATGTGTTCTAAGTGCAAATTGGGTGGAACAGAATAAAGCTGTATATAAAATGCAGCAGATTACAGACCACTTCACTTTCAAATGAAGCTGCAAGCTTACAGCTTCTCTGCTAAGCACAGCAGTCTCACCACATTGTAACGCTTTGCAGGCTCTAGCAGAGTGAGCGCCTGATGCATTCAGCAGCTTCAGGACTTTTCAGCTTATTTACCTGAAAATACTGAGCTGATGAAGATTCAGACCAGGCTGGAAAGGAAGAGGAACCATCTTCCCACAGAGAAGATCCTGGCCTGTATCTGGGCTGAAGCTCATGCTGCTATCTGGACTCCCTGAGTGCTCTTCAGCAGAGACTGCTCGTTAGAGAGGAGATGGCTAATGGCAATGAACAGCAGTCAGTAGTGCCTCTCTCCAGAAAGCTGGCTTTCTCCTTCTTTTAAGGAAAGCCTGGGAAAATTTCAGCTACTTTGACAGGGACAGTAGGAGATGGTTGACTGTCTGCACTGAGATGCTGTGAAACTTCACTGCATCCTGGAGCGATCCTTCTGTATTTGAAGAGGACAGATATCTCTATAGCAACCGGTGTTTGTCACTTGGGTAGGATCCCCAGGGTCTCTTTCTAAGGCACTAAATGTGCTCCCTATCAGGTGCTGTACACCTGAGGTCCCTTTGTTTGCTACCCGTGACTATTTTAGAAATACTCACCTGTGTATTTTAGCGTCAGGTAAGCCTACCGGTACTAGTATCATTTATGGTTCGGGCACTCTCAGCCATTTAAAGTAGGTTTCTTGATACCCAGGGAGTATGCCTTTGCCCTGATGCTATTTGCCTTCTGTCAAGCTGTGCAAGAGTGAATTTACTAAAAGGCGTTTAAACTGTGCACGATAAATATTTACTGCTTTATAGCTGCGTTTGGATTGGAGTACCATCCCCAAAAGAGCAGCATGTGGGAAAAGGTAGAAAGAAAACTTCAATAATTTACAAGCTCAAAGGCAGGAAACTGCAGCTGTCAACAGAGAACAAGTGGAGCAGTAACATCTTTGTCCAAATGCCCTTGGAATGCACGGGGAGAGAAGGTAACCGGTGCAGCTGTCTCGGCAGAGGCCCTACCGGAATGCGTATATCCACCTCACGCTCACAGAGCACGCTTTTCAGTGTCTTTCTTCCATGCTGGTCTGTGTTCCAGTATCCACAGCATGTTGGTATTTCAGTTTGTTTCAATATGGGTTTCTGTATTTGTTCATTATAGCTTTTCCCATAAGAAATGCTGCTTTCTCAGCATCCTGTGGAAACAGAGATGGTGCTATACCAGGCAAGCAGATTCGCTCACTCAGAACCAGTTTCTGCTTCCCCATTTTCTCAAAGGAGACCACAGTCTATAATTTCTGTGGTGCTCTGCCTTTTCCAAGAAACTGAACTGAGCATGTCAGAGAAAACCAGTATCAGCCAGAGTAGCTGCTGTGGTTTTTCTGTTTCTCTCATGAAATGAGATTTAAGAGGTTGGTGTCTATCCTTGTCTGTACTCCCCCTGTATCCCTCTGGCATACAGAGGAATAATTAAAGAAAAATTAGTAATCTGTGTTTATGGGTTCCTTTTGCAGACAATACTTGGTTAATCTCCACAGTCATCTAGCCAAATAAGAAGAGATTAACTGACATCCTAATCTATCATAAATCAAACAGGCAGGGAGATGAAGCGTCTTACCTTAAGAGACAAACATTGCAGAGAGCCTGCATTAGGGTTTAGCCTACATTAGTCTAAATCTAATTTAAGCCAACATTAGGACTCTGAAGTCATGGATTTTTAGACTGTTCTTCAAGGCACTGCAATCTGTGACGTGCTATATGCATCTCACACTGCATTTACCTGTCACTATTACTGATTCTTGACACTAACGAATCAAAGAAAATTAGCTCACTCACTGATTCAAGCAGTTGGTTGCAGTGGGACCAGAAGTCCCCAACTAGCAGATCTTTTTTTGGAAAGTCAAGATCTGCCAGCTCGACTGAGAAGCATCAGGGGCTGGGATAATTGGAAAAGCAGCAGCTTGCTTTCTGCAGGAATGCAGCGTGTGTGTTACGGTTTCTGGTGAGCTTTCTGTAATTTGCAGATCAAAACCAAACAAAATCAACCAGCCAACCAAATCTTTTCCAGGCACATTCTGGATTTCCTCAGGCTATAAAAATGTTCAAGCCTCTAAACATAACAGACCTGTTTTCCTGCATTCCGCATCTATAGCCTACCTGTACCCTAAAGCTAAGAAGAAATCACTGTCTCGCAGTGATTCTTCCTAAAAGGTTACATTCATGAGCTCTCTGAAAAACTTCCTCCCCAAATTCTCTTTTGGAACATAAAGAAAACAGATAAGAGTCATGATAGAAAATATTAGAAATGGTACTTTTTCTAGGGATAATGTGTGAAAAGATGCAAATGCACAAGTGTAAAAGAGAGACCAGACTCGAAGATATTCATGAACGTTGATCTTAGCACTATCAACATCTCCTTTGTGTCAGAAATGTCATCACAGAGCTGAAGTGAGTAGCAACTGTGAGTCACGATGGCAGCGTAGGCTCTGGCATGATAGGGAACTTGTTTTCTCACCGTCTGTCTGTTCCATGAGCCATCATCCCCCAACAGCTTGCTCACAGACTGCTGCCTTTACAGACCACATGAGAGCAGGATTAAATTCTTAGCCGGGAGGTAATTTTGTGGGTGTTTACCAAGTAAGAACCGCACTGTTGGTGTCTGATGAAATCCAAACCCCTTTAATTGGCCTTCCCTTACTGTGGATGGGCAGTAAATCTTTCATAGATGTATATTCTGATTTCTCATTATTTCAGCAAAGAACTAAAATATCTTGAGAGAAAAAGCCTTGCTGCAGCAAAAAGCTGGGTATCTAAGGCTGTAGGAAATGCATGCCATACCAGCCTTACCTTCCATGTAATCATCAGTCTTGGGTCTCACAGTAGCCAGTTAGGTTCTTTAAAGAATAGCACAAGAACCGTAAAGCAGACAGTTCTAGCTAAGGGCCCAAATAAAGAGGTGCTACTGTGAAATGCATAGAGCTGTAATTTTTAATGCTTCTATGTCTCCTGTGTGCTATTCGGACCAACACTCTCAGCACTGACCTGTAAAGCACCGTACAGCCGTGAAATAGGCTGCAGGAAGAAGCAGCAGGCATGTGGCAGCTAATCACCTGGCAAGTGTTAAAAGGAACGACTTCTGCTCAGGAGAGGGCCCAGGTGGCATCCACCTTTATCTTCTGGCTCTTTCCGCTTAGCTGGATGATATAATTTGGTTACTCTTTGGACAAAACGTGGAAGAATGTACATGCTGTCATTAATAATGAAAGGAAAAGGAGAAAACAAGAACACCGGTTGCTCTAGGTTGGTGCTCTGTTGTATTGGCTTTGCCCTTTCTCACATAAGCTCTTCAGTATAGACATTCTTTCCTTTGTTCTCCCTTTTTTTTTTTTTTTAACTTCAGTTCATTTGCTGTATAGAATTATCAATGTTTTCTGTAAAATTACCTTTTTTTTTTTTTTCTACAAACACAGTAAGGGCTGTAGAGCTTTCCCTATCTGTGAAGCTGATCTGCAACGATGAAAAAGCTGCAGACACTGGGTTTGGCTCGCTCTCTGTAACAGAGAAGGGAAACCTGTCAATCAACAAGAAATGCTGAGAGCAGCAACGGAAACACTTTGCTTTTTCCATCAGGCAACCAGGGCCTCTTTGAGGATTAAACCTATTGCTAAATTTAGCTACATCTCACTAGAGTTAGTATCAGGAGTTATCAGATCAGAACATCTTTGGAGGGAATGACGTCTGTCCCATGGAAGTCTAAGCCCTGGCATGCTTCTCTCCTACCCCGTGCTGCAGCGGAGTTTGGAGCCGGGAATGTTCTGCACAGCCAGCACGGCATGGGACTCTGGAGACATCGTGGGGTTTTTCAAAGCACTTGAAACACCTACTCTCATCAGCCTGCTCTTGTTTATTGTTCCGTCCAGGTCCTGAGCAAAATTTGTTCGTAACACTGAAATGGATGTCATGGGAGAGGAGAATGTTTCATGTGGTTTAACCATTCTAGTGCTTTTTTCTGGAGGTTTTTTTTAATATGCATAAGGCTTGCACTGACCCTCTTTTCCATCAGCTGGGTCATACAGAGACTTCAAATCCCACACTCCAGTGCAACTTGTATTCTCAACTGCTTTGATAAATTAAGGAGTATTAATAAACATTTTAAAAGAGTTAGATCTGGGGGGAGACAAGTGAAACCCTTCAGAAAATAAATAGCCCTTTGCAGGTCCTCATTTAGTAAGGCAGGCAGATCGACTGCGTTGTGTTTTCCTCATTGCTCCCATCTGTGCCATGGAAGCAAGTTACTCCAATGCCCAGCTACCATTTTCATTCTGGTTGGAGCAGAGTCTTAAGGAAGAAGTGTATCTACAGGTAAATTAGGGCTTCAGAAGTGTAGGAGCATCCCTGTAGAACCCTGTGTCCCTGCAGGAATGCTTAAAATACACTGCTTTTTGAAGGATCCGTCTTTGCTTCTTGGGATGAAGTACACTTGTCTGGAATTGTACCAAAGACTACCAGCACTGAGCCATGGAAATTCTAAGAAAGGTTCAATCTCTCTCACTGTGAAAGGCTTCACTAAATGAAACTTGTGACTCTTCTTTATGGCAGTTGTCTTCTCAATACTAATCCCATTCCAGATAAGGTACTTTGAAGGTGTACAGAGCTTTAATTTTAACATCTCTTGGATTATTTCTCCTCTCTGTTCTTTGTTAGCAGCTGTGATTTGAGTCAGTCCAAAAGACTTTGAAGAGCAACGTCTCTGGCATGTAGAAAGCAGCAGCTAACAGTACCATGCTAAATAAATATTCACACTCATTCAAAGCATTTTGATTTTTTTCACTTTTAAATAGCAATACTGAAACTCCACATAAACTTGCTAGAATTGTGTGTGTGGGTGTATGTGCATGTTTATATTTACCTGTCCCAGGTGAATGTCCTCCTTCCTCTTACAGTGACAAAAAGAAAGGCAGATTCAACTGGTATGAACACCAAAGGAAGTTAGTTTCCTTACTTCCCTTCCAGAAATCTCAAGGTCTGCTTGGACGACAACACTCCAAATACAACAAAAGCAATGCACCTTTTACCACGTTATTTCTGTTTATAACGTGCTCAGGCACACTTGTAGGACATACCAAAGTTTGATCTCTCTCTTCAGTCAGAATCATTTTGTCATCGGGCCAAGGAGACTTTAAGTAGATCAAGGAGCCTGTGGCTGCCGAGGCTGGCGAGAGTAAAAGAAACACACGTATTTCCTCAACTGCCGGTGGACAATCAGAGTCACTTCACAATTTTTATTTGTTGACTGCTTTTATAAAACAAAATTCCCCTTGAATCAGACATCTCATAAAACATTTATAGTCTTGTGCATGCTAGTGATACATTGTGTTTCAGTAGACCAGCATCTGCAAAACCAGACAGTTGAGTTGTCAGGTAGAATTCCTGTTTTCTACTGAAAGGGAGGGAAACTCACAAAATTAAGGCACTGTCAAAACCCAAGCCCACAAATCATTTGCCCTTTTGTACTGGCTTTCATCTGGTTGCATACAAGAAAATTTTTTTTAATTAACCATCAGTCTCAGTTTTGAACAGGGACACCAAAAAAAACCCCATGCTTTTCTTAAATCCTCCTATTTATATTCCCAGTTGCAAGATGACAGCAGCAAACATCTTATTGCTAGGGATGGCAAAATGCTGCCTAACTGAAAGCCCAGTGCTACCTCCCCATGCGTGCCGTTTTCACCACGGTGATCCCAGCCCTTGGCGATTAAAAAAAACCTCAGAACGAGTTCTGGTCTTTTGGGTGCAATGCTTACAATGACACTTTTAAGAACAAAATCAGTTATAAGAACAGCTTAAAACTAGTCTAAAAGCCAGTATTCACTAAGCAGAACATGAACGGACGGACAGACTCCTCCCTGAGCCATGCAAGGCATTTCATATTCTTCTTCACTCATTGGGCACAAGCTGCTTTCACAGACCAGTAGTTTGGCTGACAGGGACCTACAAAGGATAATCGATATCTTCAGCTGGTGTGCTTTAACAGTCCTTTAAAGTAGTTTTAATCAGCTGGTGTGAAATCCACTTCTTCAGCCTCTACATCTTAATTTAAGAATATAGGAAATGTTCCTTCCTGCATCCAGTGAGAGTGTTCAGGCTGTCCTTTAGCACACCAAAATCACTGCTTCGAGCACAAAGCAGCACGTAGCTGTGGGCTTAGGACCATGCGTGGAAGTATCCAATTCTCTCTATAAAGACGCAACATTTTAAAAAAGCCAGTTTCAGGTCTATGAATTAGGTGCCCTGGCAATTATAAATAAATAGTAATAAATACTTATTTACACTCACACAGCCTTTTTGTATCCCCCAGGATTACAAACAAACCAGAACCATGCTTCTTCCCTAGTTAAATATGATCAGGTTTGAGGTGGGACACACTATTATCAACAACGTGCAGCAACGCTACACAACAGTTTAGAATAATAACAGTACCGATACGTAGCACTTGGAGCATTTCACAGCTTCAAAGCTCTTGCAAACACAGACTTAGTTAAGAAAGTGACAGTGTTCTATCCATTAAGAATCAGAGGGAACTTAGGTGAGAGAAATGGAGTTCAGCTAGACACCAGAGTCGACATCCTTACTGCATATAAAATGTCACATTAATTGGAAATATGGCAGACGTGGGAGCTAGGAGAAATTAGATCAGGCTCATATGAGACCATTTAATTTCCTTGAGTATGAAATCTAATTTCCACATTGATGGTGTCTAAACATTTTGTCATTTTGGTACACATCAAAAAGGTCAATGAAAACTCAAAGGAACTTAGGAGCTGCAGGAGCACAAACCATTACCTCCATTCATAAATGAACACAGTGAAAGATTTTACATCAATTGAAAATGCTGCATTGTAATTGCTGAGAGCTTGGGAACTGGCACCCACTTATCATCCTGGCACGAATCTACAAATCCCTGAAAATATTATCAGAGTAGAGACAGAGACCAAGAAGCAAGCAGCAGCACAGAGAACACAAATGAAATTCAGGGACCCGCCTGGCAGTGTCTTGGCTTCCACCTCTCCTCTGCAGTCAGAGAGGAGGACTGGAGGATAAAGGAGGTCACAGGTGGCTTTGAGACTCAGCTCTGGAAGAATTTGCTTGGCCTGTTTACTGCGTGGTTGCTTTTTTATTCAGCTTTTTTTGCTTTCCGTTTCCTTGTGCCTTCATTTAGCTCCTCTTTTGACTTTGCAGGAGGCGGCGGAGGATGGGAAACCTCATGGGAGGCCCCATGCTGATTGTGATGATGACTACTGTGTCCACTGGAAACATAGCCAAAGAAAACTGGGCAGATGAAGCTTTCCACCGGAGCAAAAGGTGAGGCGTGAGAGTGAGTGGCCGTCATGAAAACCTGCCGTGCAACAGTGAATAGTTAAAGATCACAAACACCAGCTACAAAATACGAACTAGTAAGGAGCATTCCACTTACCCCAGATAAATGTCCCTATTGCTACATGGCTCAAGGCTGTATCACAAGGATCTTCTACCATATTGCCTATATGATGGAGAATTTAGCCTATAATCTCCCGAGCAGCTCCTCCCTGGTATGTACAGCCAATGCCTTCAGTAGTGGCTTAGGAAGGTGAACACCCCTAGCTTAAGTCTGTACCCTTTCTCTGGTACTGCAGATTTGTTAGCAGCAAACCTGCTGTAAACTTACCTTGCAAATTATCATGAACATGGTGAAAAAGAAGATGAGGTTGGCTTCAGAGATAGGGAGCCAGCGAGTTTGTTGCAGAGTGAAGAGGATTGTGCCATACAGACTAGCCTTTGTAGGGCTAGAAGAGAAATAAAGAAGTTTTCCAGGAGGTTTGCATCGTTTGCATGCAGTCCCGAATGGTTCTTTACATTCCGTTTTTGGTCTGACAGAGAATTTACAGGCTACCTACTTACAAGGACATACGAAGAATTTCGTTTGTTTCTGGCTTCCAGATCCCACGCAGCAGTTGCTCGAAGTTAGACATCAAGGCAACACCAGAACCTGTGAAAGAGTAAACGTGAACAGAACCGCCACCCCAAAAGAGAGCTCTGCTGTCTTTTCTAGATCCCCAAGGGATAAGGATAACCTAAGGGGAACAAAAGGTTCATGACATTCTTCCCAAATTTAAAGGAAGTTAGCCTAAAACAACAGAGCAGGGCAAATGCTTTCTAGACCTTCTATAAAGCGTGTCCTGATGCAGGGAAAGGGCATTTGCCTGCTCCATTTACTGATGCTCAAATGCTTGCTCCAAACAAAAGCTAAAGGAAAACCGACTGGGCTGTTTCAACACCGATAGAACCCCCCTGAAAAGATACGGGCGAGGCCAGAGACAGTAGAACACAGGAGAAAGAAGAATTCCTGAATTCTACACCCATATTTCATAGTCACTCCAGTTCTTCATGCCTCCATTAAAGTTAGATGATGACTCAACTGACAACTGTTCTGCGAGTACGAATAAATACGCGTGTTCTGGGGAACTTGATTGACTGAAGCCAGCTGACCACATCCGCTAGCCAGCCTGCTGGTCAGTGCTCCGTGATGTGGTCACCTTAAGCTTCCCTCACAGATCCTCCCGTCCCTCCCCACAGGGCTGGGTGCCTCCCCGCTGTGTTAAGAGCATCTCGTGTCTCACCTTTGACCCATCCAGTAGCCATCATAATGAACCACCCGTGGTGGTAACGGTGATGAGCATGGTGGACCCCAGCTGCAATTTTGCGAACTCTGACCACCTCCTTCATTGCCACAAAGATGAGCTTCACAGGCAGAAAGCTAACGCACTTGTAGAAGAGGTTCATGGGACAGAAGAATATCAAATACCTGGAACAA